AACTTGAAAAGCCAGCAGATGATTCTGCCTTTGAAAACAAATGACGCCACTGGAGTTTTGTTTGGTTTTTTTTTTAATTACAAACTAAAGAAGATTGTTAAGTTTTGCATTTGAAATCTATAGACTGCTGAAATTCTAAATAATTTTATAAGCATAGTATTTTGAAGTTAAATTTTGTGGAATAAAAGCCCCTTTAATTTTGGTTTAAAAGTATTTAAACACTTCTGCCAATAGTTAAATCCAGTATTAACAGGTAACACATTTCAAAAGATTAAAAATCCCAGTTAGAAAATGCTTACATGTTACAGGAGTTAGAGTTGTAGTATATTTTTAACTTACTACTGTATGTTTGTCTAGTTAATAGCAGGAAAAAGTGTAAATACTTCTAACTCTCCAGTTGCTTTATTTGTATAAAACCTCCTCTCTTCCTATGATACTGACCTCTGTGCAGTTTTTCAACTCTTGTTGGGGATGTCTTTTCACTGTGTTTTGTAGGAGTTGAAAGCGGCATTTTTATAGCTGTTACAATGTCTAATGTATAAGTACACTTCATTGTTTGGTTTTTTTAAAATAAGTTTAGTTCTGTTCTTGCAAAGCGCGTTGTGCCAATTTACTGCAATGTGACTTTTATAGTTTGCTTTTGGTATAGTAAGTATACTGAAAAGAAGTGTGGTGTTCTCACAGAACCTGTTGATGCAGAATGGCTGGAAAACACTGTCTTGAATGATTTATGGAATTAAAGAATTTTAAACTGATTAAGGCATCCTTGTATAGACAGAACCATTCATAGGAAAAACATGACTCTGGTTTTAGTACTATTTTGATTTTACTGCTTTGGCATTAACTTGGGGACTTCTAACTAGAATTTTAATAGAAACACCAGTAAAGCGTTTTAATTCCTGGGGGTGTGAAAGGGAATAGAACAGGTATAAACCTCTCAGAAGAGTGTTTCTTGAAACACAGACTTTGTCCAATATTGTAGTAACTTGTATGTGGTATTTGAAAGAGGACAGCCTGGTTAGAAATTAGTTTGAAAATCCTGATAATACACATAGAACATGCTGAGTTGAAGAGAAGCCACAAGGATCATCAGTCCCAACTCCTGGCCTTGCACAGGACACCTCAAGAGTCACCATGTGCCTGAGAGCACTGTCCAAATGCTTCTTGAACTCTTGTCAAGTTGTTGCTGAGACCAGTTCCCTGGGGAGCTGTCCCAGTGCCCAACCACCCTCTGGGGGAAGAACCTTTTCTGAATATCCAATCTAAACCTCCCCTGACACAATTTCAGGCCATTCCCCCGGGTTCTGTCATTGATCACAGAGAAAAGATCAGTGCTTGCCCCCTCCTATTCCCCTCATGAGTAAGTTGTGGACTGTGATGAGGTCTCCCTTCTGTCCCCCTCCAGGCTGAACATGCCAAGTGACCTCAGCTGCTCCTCACACGGCTTCCTCTCAAGACCCTTCACCATCCTTGTCACCCTCCTTTTGGATGCTCTCTGATAACTTTATGTCCTTCTCATACTGTGACACCCAGACCAGCCCCCAGCACTGCAGGTGAGGCTGCCCCAGCTCAGAGCACAGCAGGACAATCCCCTCCCTTGCCTGGCTGTGATGCTGTGCCTGATGCCCCCCAGGACAGGGTTGGCCCTCCTGGCTCCAGGGCACTGCTGGCTCAGGTTCAGCTTGCCATAGACCAGGAGCCCCAGGTGCCTTTCCATGGCACAGCTTTCCAGCATCCCATTCCCCAGTCTGTCCATACATCCAGGGTTGTCCCATCCCTGGTGCAGGATCCAGCACTTTCTCTTGTTGGAACTTCATATGGTTGGTGATTGCCTAGCCTTCCCACTTCATGAAGGTCTCTCTGCAGGGACTCCCTGCCCTTGAGGGAGTCAACAGCTCCTCCCAGTTTAATAATTGGCAAACTTACTTAGTATTCCTTCAAGTCCTGCATCCAGGTTGTTAATAAAGAGGTTGAAGGGCACAGGGCCAAGGATAGAGCCCTGTGGAACCCCAGCAGTGACCAGTCTGTTGTCATCCCATTCACTGAAAGCCCCTGTGCCCACCCATGACCGACTTGCTCACCCAGTTCCTGAGGCATTTATTTCATTGTGCACTGGACAGTTTTTTCCAGGAGGATACTGTGAAAAACAGTATTGAAACCTTTAGAAATCAAAAAAGATTAAACGTTCTGTCTCCCCTTGATTAACTAGGTGTGTTGCTTTCTCATAAAAGGAAACTAGGTTTGATAAACAGGACTTAGCCATTATGAAGCTTTACTCGCTCTGACTGAAACCTGCATTGTCCTTCAGGTGATTTCAAGAACTCAGAGAATAATCTTCTCCATAATTTTACCAGTCACTGAAGTGAGACTGCTAGGTCTGTAGTTTTCAGGATCATCCTTCTTGCCTTCTTGAAAACTGGAACAATGTTAGCCAGATTTCAGTTGACTGGGAACTCTCCAAATTCCTAAAACCATTCAAAAATCATTGAGACTTTGCAGTGACATCAGACAGCTCCTTTGAGTACTCTTGGATCAATCCCGTAAGCCCCAAAGACTTAAAAGGGATCCAGCAAATCCTGCACAAGTTCAGGGTCCACTAGGAGTTGACCATTCTCACAGTCCTGGTCCTCCAGCTCAGGACACTGGGACCCTCATGCCCCATAACCCACATGGAGAGAGAGGCAAAGGAAGCATTAACATCTCTGACTTGTCTATGTCCCTGTTGGTGAGTGACCATCCTGATCCTGTAGGTGAGGGCCAATGTCTTTTCTGCACTGCCTTTTGATACTGATATATTAAAAAACCCAACCTGTTTTTATTGTGCCCACAGTGCTGGAGAACTTCAACACCAGCTGAACTTTGACCACATGAATGTTCTCCCTACAGTGGGGAGCGCCATCTTTGTATTCCATGTCCCCTGTCCTTGCTTCACCAAGCACACACCTTCTTGGTCTGCCTGGACTCAAAAAAAATATCCCTACTCAGCTAACCCGACCTCCTTCTTTGCCAGGTTGGCTTCTGACATTTTGAGGTGGCCTGCTCCTGTGTTTGAATAGCTTTCAGATCTTGAAGACAGTACGTGAAGTTAAACCTGCAAGTTCAATCACCATGGCAGCTCCAGTCTGAAACTGTCTTTGGCAGATGACCATGATTGGCCTCCACAGACTTTGACTTTTGGCAATCTCTAGCACTTCACAACAGATTGATGTTCAGGGGAATGACTGACATGGCTGTACAACTTGTTTACAGATAAACAGCATTCTCATTTAGCTTATAAATAGATGTTGGTTACTATATGCTGGATTTTGCAGAGTTCCACATTCCAGCTAGTCTTATGATGTACTTTATTGAAACCTCAAGAAACTCAAACAACTTCCACTTTTACCCTTGAAAGTATTTCTGTAAAGATGTTACTGAAAATCCTCACATAAAGCATTTCTCAATTTTGACCATCCCTTTTTATCAAATCTTATCCAAAAAAAAAAAAAGGAAAAAAGGTACTATGTATTTGACAAGGATGCTGAATTGCCACATCCACCTAGTTTTCACACAAGTATTGATAAGCTAACTCATCTGTCACAACTGTTTCAGTGATAATGGGTCACAGTGCCACTGCTTCAAAGAGTTAATTGAGATTGGGTGCAGAGATGAAGATCCTGAATTTGTAATGCAATCACTCTGTCCATATAGCCGCTTGGCTTTTGCTGCCTAAATTTACCACCCATTAACTAACCAGAAATAGCCTAAATTCACGAAGTCTGACATGACTGCAGAAAGGGTCATCTCACCTTCAAAGATGCCTGAGTGATCCTGAACTGTGTTTTTTGAAAGAGCTGCGACTGACTGGGCAGTCACTTAAAGTCTCACAAGGAATAAGGCTGGTTCTTTCTTAAGAAAGAAAGCACAGTTATGCACAAAATTCAAAGCAGAGTTAACTAACAACAGCATCTCTATTTCAAGAATGGAGTTTACTACAGCTTAAAATACTGTGCAGCCCTGTTGAGTTGCTCATCATTCAAGTACGGATGGGACTCTTGTGGTAATGTTACAAGTGCCTGGATAGCAGTGGGAAGTGCTATAGCACTGTCTATATGAATCACGTTTTGCTTTGGAATTTCATACTAACAGTAAAATCAGAGGGCCCTCCCCTCTTCCTCAATACAAGAAACAGTTTTGTATCACCTTGTCAGCAAGGCAAAAACTTTCATTAGGGAGAGAATCTGCAAGACATTTGGGAAGTTTGAAATAACTTGTAAACAATCATACTGCCTAATCACTGAGTGCTTAATAAAACAACACCAACTCCAAAAGCCAACAGATTCAGGTTAATGTTTTTGAGATTCAACTAGCAACACACAGACAAGGGATTATTAAAAACATTTTTTTCTTTTTTTTTTGTCATGATGTGATGAACCTGCTTGGACGTTTCCATCATCAAAACAATTACAGCATTTAATAAGTTGCTAAAGCAAATATCCAGCTGGTGTCATAGAGATTTAGCTACAAATGGGCACTGTATGCAATGCTGGATTTCACTCAGAGGACTCATTCACACAGACTTATCAAATCACGACCAAACCCAGTTGTCCTGAGAGAGTTTCTGGGATCTTTAAAATATATGACTTAGTGTAACTTTGTTGTTCCACTTGTCATTTATGATAAATCACTGAACATGAAATAGGACCACGTCATACAAACAGCAAGCTTCTAATACAATTCTTCTCTGTTTTGTAGTTAAGCATTGAATGCTCTCAACTCCCACACCCAGACTGTGGTTGGCTTCTCTCCACCTTACTAGAAGTATGGGACTGGCTCACTAAAATTTCTTAATCTTCAGGGACATCAATTTTGAAATATATTTGACCTTAACTTTTAATTAAGAAGATAAATGAGAGACAGCATATTTGAGGCAAGTTAATTTAATGAAAGAGTAAACTCACATTTTGCCATTCCCTTCTCTCTACAGCTAAAGAAAAAAAATGCTCCCACAAAAAGACTACTGATTGCTGCTTTAGAACTCAAGCTTGTTCTCTGTATTACCCCCGATCCAATACTGAAGAGGACTAGGAAGCCTGTATATTTATGGGAGACAGCTGAAGGAGGATGAGATAGGGGAAAGATAAGGAGTAGCAACTTGTGAGGCAAATGCTGAAGTTGCAACCACAGTGGCATAGTAGAGGACCTTTAAAGCAGCTGCTGCAGCACCACAAAGCAGCCCAGCCCCAGCAGTTGGACTTGTCACAGTTGAGATGGGCAGGGCACTCCCTTTTCTGCAGATTCCTGAAGGATATGAGAACTATCACTACCTGCTTTTACAAGTGGCTGGTTCATTAAAATACACAGGCCAACAGCTGGCTGGTTTACAAGTCAGGAAAAAACCCCCACTTCTTTTTGTTGTCTCTAAAAAAATCACGGATTTATGTTAACATGACTTAATACATCACCAGAAAGCAGTAAGATATGGGAGTGACCAATGGAGCCCTGCAAATGCTTCAGATACCTTTGTTTCAAGACATCTAAGATAATCAAGTCAGCAGTGGCAGAATCTACAGCCACAGAACCTGAACAGGATTCAGTTTGTCACTTTTCTGTATGTGGATTGTCAGAGTAGGCTGTCTTCCCCCAACCAGAACTAGCTGAAGTTTTCAAAAGAAAAGCAGCTAGTGCTAACTTCTCTAAACAACAAAGATCTCCGCTAATATCCTTTTAATTCCAGAAGACTTTAAAAAAAAAAGAATGTATGCCTTGACAGAGTTTCAGTTTAACAAGAGACTAGGAACTATAAAATCACATTTTAATAAAATAAAACATTACTTTCAACAACAGAATGATACTAAAAAACGTGCACAATGAACATTGCATACACTGTAAACACTTGACAAAATTATTTAAAAGGCAGGCTACAATTCAGTAAAATGGTGAAATGTAGTTTCCTCTTTACAGAATCAGTCCTCAGAGTCAGAAGCCAAGGACAGCAGAAGCCTTCAGATGCAAGCTTTCATTTGTAGGAAAGACCCAAGAGTTTAACCGGCATTCTGAGCTTCTCTCCCACAAACATTCTCCTCCCTTCAAATTCAGTGCCATCCACCCTTATTCAAATATGGCAACTGCCTGAGTTTTCAAGGTAAGATATATACAGACCATGTTCTCATCCTCAGGGGTTTACAGAGCCTTGGATGCACAGAGCATCTCGAAATCATGGTTTCTTTTGCCAGGTATTCTCACAAATCCACATTTTACAGTCCGTAGCATCCAAACTGTAATGTTGTAAAAGTGTATTATATTTTTCCATGCCAACTTATCTGTAAAATCATACTTACTCAGAAAAACACACTAGATAGACATCAAGTGCAAAGGGCTCGTTCTAGCTCACAGGAAAGGATTACATGCCTAACCTGAAACCCAGCAGTAGGCTCAAATCTCAAGCTGTCCAGTGGTTTTAGCAGCTAGAGCAACAGATTCAACAATGCCATTCACTGAATTAATCCTGGCGCATGTCAGTTTCAATTGAAAATCCCAGGATCAACATAAGGATATGCAAGAAACTCCCCCAGTTTATTGCCTTCTGCATCATAGTGGAGCATCCGAAAACAAACATCACAGAAGAAACAAGGATCCTCGGGTGCCAGACTGTCTCTGTTGGTTACCCACCTGCAGGTTACAAAACACAAGTGGTTTTTTGTGAGTGCAACACACTTCTGGCAAACACCTCAACATTTTACTCAGGACTGGGGATGGCAGCAACAAACATCAGTAATAATTTTATATACCCAAGGTACTACCTATATTGCATATCTCCCATCCCACGCATACAGCTTATTTCTAAACTCCACACCCATTCCCAGCAGCTACAGAAGCACTTCCTGAGAAATGCCTCAAACCTGTGTAGCTGTTACAGTGCATTAAAAAAAAATATAAAACAGGAAATTTCTGTCCACCCTGTGGCTAAGTCATAAAAGATAAATGGTTTTTTTTCCCATAGTGCAAGAAACTGTGAAATGGAGTAGACATGTACTAACCCAGGCTCTTCTGAATAATCAAAACCATTTGAGACTCTAAAACCAGGACCCAAACGATGCAGACAAGACAAGGTGTGGATTGCAGCACACTCCAGCAAGAACTGAAGTTAACATGAACACAAGTTAACAGGTATAAGGAGGGCCTGCCATGTTCACTGGGTAATTAATTTTTGATAGCACTCAAGAGGCCATGACAGCTGAAGGCCTCTGGTGATTACAGATGCTATCTGCACAGATTAGAACACACTGGTAGCCAGCCAAAGCAGCTCTGCTTTCTATGGTTTAGCATGTCCCCACTTAAGCTTAGTGCTTAATCCTGGTTTTAATTTAATGCATTTACATCACCTCTGGTAATGCCCTCCCCACCCCATCTTTCCCCCATATTGACCCTTTGGCTCCACCTCTCCTTATGGCCAAATGCCTCACAGATTATAGGCCCTTGTGAAGGCATCCTCAGGACTCTGTTAGGAACACTAGGACGGACTCCCATCTCAAGGGGAATTGGCTTTTTGCCTGATTCCAGGGAAGTCTGAAGCCAAACAAGCAAGACAACGAAAACACAGTTGCTGTGTCAAAGAGAGGCTGAGAGCATAAGCTGTCCTGAGGGAAAAAAAAGGCAACCAGTGTTTTTGCAAATAAATAATTTATATCTATAAAATCAGGGAGCCTAGCCTAGTCTTTAGAGAAATTACTACTGTTTATTGGAAGTCTGTCTCTTATGTAAATCAAAACCACTAAAGTATATAAAGAGCACCAAGTTCATATTCTGCTCTTTTAAGTGCAGAAAATAACAAAGAGTTCCTTCAAGAACAGCTGCAGAGCACACAGTTTTCAAGTAGAAGTTAAGAGTTTCCTGTGGTGAAAGTTAAATGCCTTTTAAAAATCACTAAGTTTTCTTATATTAGAGTTGGACAGATCTATATCTCCGCAGATGCTAGATTAAACAAAAGTGCTGTATGATTTCTGGTAAATGTATTTGCAAAGGAGGAAAATGCAGCATTTTCCCCCAAAAGCAGGATTTTCAAAAGTAATTGATAAGATAGCCAAGTTCTAAATATGCAAAAGAATATGAGCCAAATAAGTAATCTCTTACTCATTTAGTTATTTTGAAACTCCTGAATCAATTCTAAATGAACACTACCTGCAGGAAGACTTTTCCTGGTTAGAGAGGTCAACTGCTTGAAGAGTGAAGATTATTATTATAAAACATATACAGAGCTTTGATTTTTACTATTTTTTTTTAAGTTAGTAGCAGCACCTAGAAAGACTTAATTAAGATGGCAATAGCATCAATAATGTAGCATACCTTGCTGTATACATCTTGCACACAAAGCATTTTCTGGTACATAGCCAATGTTTCTTGACTAGTAAGGGATACAGATTCCTATCCAGACAGTCATCATGATGGATAAGCCTTGAGGGAAATAAACAGATACAACACATACAATAAAGATATTGTCATATTGAAATTTATCTGAACATAAGCACGGACATTGAAGATAAAGTATGATTTAAATTCCCATGTAAACTATGATTAGATGTCTGCTTAACATTTCTTAATACAGATTAAGATCTTGAGATAGACTGCTGGTTGGTTGCACCATCTGTGAATTTTATGATCACAAGTAAATTCAGTTTGTGCAGTAACTCAGAAGTCTTCAGACCATCTCCTTCCTGGGGTCTTTTTAAAGCCTTTATCTCCTATACAGACTAAAAAGCAATTGTCAGCTGAATCTTCAGATCATCTATGTTCAACATCTCTGCTTTTCTCTGGATTATGTTCCTTTTGGAAAGCATGATGTATTATCAATACTTTGATAAATCAGGCTCCTGCAAACAGACAATTACTCAGCCCACTATTTCTGTTCCTCTATTCTCTTTTCAGTTGCTGCCCCTTAGCTTCAAGTTCAAACCAATAGTCCAGTTGAGTCCAGCTGCAGCCTACAATATTCTGCTCCCTAGTGCTCCAGAAACAGTATGTAAATCTGCCACAGATTAGCTCTACATAGAAAGATCTCGACACTGGTGGTTGCCATTCCTGTTATACAGCAGTTACAGCACACTAATTACAAAGCAGTCCTTGTATGCAAATTAAAAAGAAAAAAGCAAGGAAGATTACTCTCCTTCTTTCAGAGATACTCCCATATATATGGAAGAAAAATTTAAGCTCGGCAGAAGGCAGCAGAATAATCTTAAAGCAAATAAGTTAGTCTAACAAACATTCAGCATTTAATGTCTGACGTTTGTCCAGAAAAGACTTACTTTCATTTGCCTAAAGACTCCCAAAGAACAGTAACTTACCTTATATCTGTGATTATAATGATGTGTTCACAGTTCCCTTGGTGGCAGTAAAGGTATGGAAAGCCAATTTTGAGGGATAAATCATTAAATACATAATCCTCCATCTTAACAGACTGAAGATTTTCATAGCCTCTGTCATGAGATTCTGACCACTCTATAATTGTTCTGAAAATAGAAAGGCCATCAGCATAGCAAAGCTATTATCCATGAATGCAGAGAAAAAGATGCCTTGGGGACATGAAAAACTCTTCACTGAGACATGGTTAAATGATGGAAATCAGAACAGTTCACAACATTTTGTAGTAATTTAAGGTGATTTCACAGCAATATTACACCACCATAGAACTGTTCACTGCTCTTATGGAACGTCTGCCTTTCAGTCCTCACCAGGCAGCTTCCTGAGGAGTTTTAGTCAGTGTATGCTCCTGATGGCACCCATCCAGGTCAGACTGTTTGCAGCACAATACTTCTTAAGTAGGAAGTCTTCCAATAATTCAAGTTACTAGCAGGTCATTTTGCCCCCTTGGTCAATGACTTCATTTTAAAGTATTAAAAGGTTTTTTTTAAATTTTGTTTTTGTCAAGGAGAAACACAAAGCGGACAAGTGCAGTTACATTTCCAAAATTTAGCACTGGAAGGGCACCAGCTAGTGTAAATTTCTTTTTGTCTTTTTGGCACACTCCTATACACAAGGCATCTAAATCTACAACTCTGTGTATGCTATGACAAGCCCTTCTGTGAAGACCACTGCTGTTCACAGAGAAAGACAAGAAGTAAAATATTAATTTCCCTGAAGTCACATACAAAGGCTGGCAGAACAACAGGGTCTAACAGGGTCAGCTCTTCCATACCAGACATTTTAAACATTTTGGTCTCCTAAATCTCACTAGTGTACCAGTGCACCACAGCAAAACCATACTTCCTTAAATTATCAGATTTCTTTTCTGATCAGAGACCCCATGTTGACTCTACAATAAAGGCATTCAGCACATTTTCAAGACTGAGCAGGATAACCACTGCACAGCTGAGCTTGATGTCTTTCTGACCCATCTTCCACCTCACGGGCAAGTCTTTTGATTGCCATCCCAAGTAGGGAAACTACTTAAAAACCCAATACAATATGCCACCTGCCACTTTACACAGAAATCCCATATCAACAGAGGAATACTGGATTTGCAGGCTAAAGAAATGGATTCAAACTCTTTTCAAAAGGGAAGCAAATGGAAGGAATAAGTAGAGTAAGTAAAGTTAAACTTCTCTGTAACACCAAATCATCCTGGGAAAAAAGTAGGATAAGTCCATTCTAGCTTAATACTCTAGACATTCTAGTATCTGTAACATCACAAGTCATAAACAAAATGAAACAAATTTTATGTTCCATAAGGTTTTCCTTAGCCAACATCTAGAAATACCATACCTGCTCAGATCTCTGCACTCTGGGTATCTTTTATCATTATAGAAGATGCCTTCAAAGTAGAAGAAGGCAGATTTGTAGAGATCCTGAGAGACAGAGAGAGAAGTCTCCATTAGTGTTGTGAGAGAATAAACACTTTAAACAAGAACATGTCAAAAAATCCAAGCATTTTAGGTACCTAAATTATATTAAGAGACCTCATTCTACAGGTGTCTAAGAAAAGTTCTGCTCTGATTGTAGATGCTGATGTGACAACTTGGCTTATATGATTGCCAACTACCAGCTACTCTGCTGATACTGCTCCCAAGCCATTACAAGTTACTTTAATGTTCTTCTCTTATTTCTGTCCCCATCATAGCTGCTATGGACTTCTATAAAAACACAGAACAAGAACATAGGCATTACTGAACTAATTCAGTAATTGCAACGCATTGACTTTAAAAAATAATAGTATTTTAAAAAATTAGCAAGATGCAGCGTGTTTACTCTGGGTGGCTACCAGATAACTATCCAGCTGCTCTCTCACTCCTCTTTCTTAACAGGACTGGGGAAACAAAATGAGACAGGCAAGCTCATGGGTTCAGATAAAGGCAGTTTAATGAGAAAAAGCAAAAGTTGCATGCAGGAGCAAAGCAAAAAAAATAAGATTTTTCCTTATTTCCCATCAGCAAATGATGGTCAGGCATTGGAATAAGCTGCTCAGGGAAGTGGTGAAATCACCATCCCTGGGAATGCTGAAAAAGTGTATGAATGTAGCATTTGAAGATATGGTTCAGAGAACATAGTGACAGCACGTTAATGTTTAGCTCAGCTTCTGGAGTTGATTTGGCATCTGGTGACTCTTGCACTGCTGGTATGAGTGCCATAAACTATTAATTATCTTTTGATAGAAAAGAATGTTACAAATAGACTGTCTACATGTGACAAACTGTAATTAAGGAAGAATTTTGAAGGATGATAGATTTTCTTGTGAGACCCTAGAAGTGAGGTGATTGGACCTTCCAGAATTGTCTGTGTGACTTGTTTATACAGATGTGACCAAAAAGTGCTCTCATGTGTAGCTGTGCATGTGTGCATCCATGTGTGCAAGGGACAAGGCTTCAGTAATTCTCTGTCATTTCATTAAGAAGTATTTTGTGTTCTGATCAAACACACAGAGAGTTAACTTGGTATGGAGTTAACTCTCCTCACAGCAGCCCCTGTGCATGCTCTGTATTTTTGGCAAGGGGGAGTTGATAATACCCCAGTGTTTTGGCTACTGCTGGGCAGTATTTGAGCTACTTGCACAGCTTCAACGCTCTCTCCAAGTCTCCCCAAGACCAGTGGGCTGGGGCTGGGTGAGAGGCTGAGAGGGAATGTAGCTGGGACAGCTGACCCAAAGGACATTCCATGTCACATGATGCTGTGGTGAGCAATAAGAGCTGGAAGAAATGAGGAAGGGGCTATTCATGGTGAAAGCATTTGTCTTCCAAAGCAGCCACTATGCATGCTGAGGCCCCAGGAAGTGGTTGGAATAGGATCATAAAATCATTAAGGTTATAAAAGACCTCTAAAATCATCAAGTCCAACTATTAACCTAGCACCACCACGTTCACACAAGTGTCACTTTCATGGCTGATGATTCCACAACTTCCCTGGGTAGCCTGTTCCAATGTCTGACCACCTTTGCAGTGAAGAAATGTTTCCTAATATCCAATCTAAACCTTCTTTGGTGCAATTTGAGGCCATTTCCTCTCATCCTGTCCCATTGCCCAGTGAACTGACTCCCTATCTGGCTACACCCTCCTCACCCTCCTTTCAGATAGTTGTAAGAGCATGATAATGTCTCTCCTGAGCCTCCATTTCTCCCTCAGCCATTCTTAAAGGACTCAGTAAGGATCCTCCCTCTTTATTCTAAATGGGAAAACCATGGACAACCAGGCAATTTCCATTACCAGACTAGTCTGGGGATGCTCATTTGTGCCCAGAGGTCTCTTTGAGTTATTAACTCTAGGCTGTCAAAACACAGAAAATGCAGACATCAGGACCAAAGACAGGACTTCTCAGATGACCTGCATGAAGACAGAGTGGTTGGAATGTGTTTTACATTCAGATTCTTTGATTCACTTCTGATTACCGTTACCCTCTCTGCTGCTGGAATAAGTGGCTGATACACCAGATGATCCTGTTGCCAGCCAGAGGGATCTTAACAGCCCAGAGAAATGGGCGAACAAGAACTTGGTGAGGTTGAGCAAGAAGTGCAAGGTCTTGCCACTAGGGATAAACAAGCTGATGCTCCACTGTATGCTGAGGCTCACACACCTGGAGAGCAGCTAGGCAAAAAGGACCTGTGGATGCTGGTAGATCCCAAACTGAACATGAGCCAACAATGTCCTTGCAGCAAAGACAGCAGATGGAGGAGATGGGATCCTGTGCTGTATTAGATAAAATACCACTGGCAGGTAAAGGGAGGCAATCCTTCAGCTCTCCTCAGCACTAGTGAGACCATACCTAAAAGCCTGTCTTCAGCTCTTCAACCTAAAGGCTGCTCAGTATGAGAGACATGGACATACTGAGTCCTACAAGGGCCATAAAGATGAAGTGCCTGTAGCATGTCTCCTAAAAGGAGTGACTGAGGGAGCTCTGAGTTAGAACCCTGAAGAGAAAGCTCAGGTAGGGGCATCTTGTTAACATACCCAATACTCTCAGGAGGGTACAAAGATGACAGAGCCAGGCTCATTTTAGTGATCCTGAGTGACAGGATCAGAGTCAATTAGCACAAACTGAAACACAAACATTTGCCCTGAACCTCAAGAAATACTTCTTTACTGACACAGGTGACTCAACACTGACATAGGTTGTCCAGGGATGTTGTGCAAACTCCATTCCTTAGAGATCCACAAAAAGCGTCAGGACATGGTCATGGACAACCGGCCGTAGGTGGCCTTGCTTGACCAGAGGGAGTAGACCAGATGACCTCAACAAGTCCCTTTCAACCTCAACCATTCTATGACATGACCATATATGTCATAAAATGTATGATCAAAGTGTTGCACCTGTTTCTAGCCTTCTGAGTGTTGATACATTCTTTTTATATTTTCTCATACTCTTTCTGCTAAACAGTGGATTGTTTGCATTCCTCTTTGGAGGAAGAGAGAATTGACTGACATTGTGATGAGCCAGTTGGAGTCAGAGGTCTCTTCGTCACTGTCCAATCCACGGTCATTGTTAGATTTCCATAGTCATGTCTGTAAATAAAGGGCTCTTTTCCTGTTCATCCAACTTGGAGTCAGGTGCGTGTCTGTTCTCATCTTTCTGTGTGTGTCACAACGACCACAATCAAAGTGATTCAATTCCAGTATTTTCACTAGATTACTTGCTTTGACCATATCCAGAGAATATATAGCAACTTTGAGAGAGAAGAATAATCTTCATCCCTACATTTGATCAGCATCCAGTTACAAACAACAAAGCAGAGTGGGATGGTCTAGCTTATTATTATTAGTAGGATTAAGCTATTACCTCTGGTGTTTCAGAATAAAGCTCAGAATCAAATCAGTCCACAGGAACAGATCTACACAAAACTCAGTGCTTGTGTTTCTATTTCCTAGCAGTAGCAGTCATGATGTTTTTCTTGCTACGGCACGAAAAATATCATCTTGGTAATGCCGCTATGAAGTATTTACTTGCAGTGCAACCAACAGGCAGAAATAATGCAGCTGAATTCAGTGCTGAAGAAAAAACAACAAAACAAAACTCTGCCTCCGTCTCTATGTTTTCAGGATTCCTATACATGCAGAAGGTTCCACATAGAAGGTTTTACCTTGCTGATGTGCTCTGGTGCTTGATCTGGCTGACTGCTGAACTCACCACCTATCTGGAGGTCACTGACGCAGGAAATCGAGTCTCTCAGCTCAGTGAGCTTCTGGCTGCCCAGCACAAGGACTGTTTGGTAGGGTTTGTGATCTTTATGCTACAAAGAACAGAGCATACAAACTTCAGATAAATTATAACTTATAAGAGCATTAGCACTGCTCTTCATTTGACAGCTTAAGGTCATTACTGGAAGCATCTGGAACATCACTTCTCTGAACAGCATCTTGCCACAGTCTCTCCTAAGACTGACACTTAATAGTTCTATTCAGAAACTCAAAACATTCTCCATTGGAAACTGCAGACAAGACAGCAAGTCTGAGCTCACTTATGCCAAATCCAGAATAAGTACTTTAGTTCTGTATTTAGTTTCAGGTTTTGAGCTTCCTGTAAAATAAATTAACTACTGCAGAATTATTGTGAAAGTTCTGTTATGTAAACCACTAACTGAATCAGAGTTGAAGAGTTTACCACGTCTTCAGGAGACTCAGTGATTTTAACAGCTTGGGAGAGCAAGATATTACCTGAATAGGAAAGAATCAGAATACAACGCAGAGAATTTCACACCAACCTTCTGAAATATAACAGGATAAAAGATGTTCAGAGTTAAAAGTAGTTCTCCCTCCTCAATTAGATCTGTTGCATTGTCTGGCCTCTTTCCAGTTGCATGTGACTCCTGGAAAAACATACACACACACATGCACATATATATTATATTGGCAACCACATATATACAATATATATATAAAATAAACCCTGGGTATATATAATAAACCTTGGGTAACAGTCTGAGAAATACTAACTCATTTTTGATTACATAGCCTTCTGAATTGAAAACAGCCTACTTCCTCCAAGGTGGAAAGGTGAGAAACTGTTCCAATTACTGATTTCAAGCAAGTTCATTCATTTCTCAGCTTTGTTGCAAGGACTTGGCTGCTCCTTGGCTATTGAGAGGCCCTGCATAAAGGAATTAGAGGCTGCTGTCATTCTGCCCTCATGGAACCCAGCTGGTACCAACTTTCACCACTTAATGCTTTGAAATGTTCTTTGAATGCTTTCATATGTAAAGGGGGATTGCAACCCTTAACTTGGGAAACACTAACCTAGAAAATATACACAGAATGAAATTTATTATTTTTGAACAAGCCATGGACTCCATGGACTCCAGCACTTCAGTAACTCTGAAAGAGTTCAAAGAATGTGTATATGTGGTGCTTAAGGACACGGTTTAGTGGTGGATCTGGCAGTGTTAAGGTAATGGTTGGGCTCAATGATCCTTAAGGTCTTTTAACCTTAATGATTCTATGAACATTTATGAAATGAGGTTTTCCTATTTGGGACTTCAACGGTTGTGAAGAAATAATTTTTTTAAAAAAACGATTAAGCATAGTTTAAAAATTCAAATAAGGCTTTTGAGGGGCTGATGACTACACTCTTGGTTCCTGGCAGTTCAGAATGGCTGAAAAACTCGGGCTACAAAGCTCAGAATTAGGAATTTACCACCAATGTGCTTCTATTGTTCTCTTCTTTCAGCCGTACTGAAAATAGTTCACAATCATTCACACACTGAAGCTTAGTTTCCAACACTGGACTCCAGGAGCAAAACCATTACACATTTTGTCTAGCTCTATGTCTAGCTGTAAGTTCACAGCACCTAAAAAAAGCAGTCATACAGTGGTAAGGAATGGAGTTCTTATCTACATCCAGTATTAACAGACAGTTAAGAACAGACATCCTATTTTTCTACAAAATGTCTTTAATTATTATCTGCAGACTTGTATCTGCAAACATTTACAGTGTACATTTCATACTGGTGAATAAAAAAGCAACCAGAAGTTGTACTATTTGGCTGTCTTGAGAGCCTATAAGATGACAGGCAACTTACCATCTCATAGGCAAGAGTCTCTTGTCTGCAAGCTCGATCCACAATAATTGTTTCTTCTCTCCTTTCTAAGGCCTTCTTTCTAATTCTGAGGGACAGAACACAAAATGTTCAACAATTTCCATGCAGAATTTCATATTTCTTAATGACACAAGCTACTACAGAGCAGCTTTCAAAGAGCAGGACTCCTGTCTGTCTTAGTGGGACAGACTAACTTAAAATACTCGTCTTCTGACTCATAAAACCTGATAGTGCACAGGCCAGCTTGTGGATTTCAGCTTGTAGGCTTTTTCCCTCTTATGTGCAAATGACAGGTTGTTCGTGAGTAATTTTACACTCACAATAAAAAAGAGCAAAATGTTTTCTGAAGAGGCTGTCCTAGGACAAAACACTTTGTGACCTTTGAGGAAGCCTTTTCAACAATTCTTTCTGCTTCAAAAAAATTAAATTCATGTTCAAGCAAAACACAAGGAAAAAAACAAGCCACAAATATTCTTTCTCAGTCCCATAGCATAGACACTTTAGAAAAACCCCAAATCAAACCTTCATTATCATTTTTAGAAGAAAGAGTATTGTAAGTAGAATATCTACTAAAATACAGGTATTTAACCACTGCATGAACACCCAATCCTTAACAAGGACAAGTTTACTTATCCTCCAGACATTCACAAGGATTTTCAGTAACAATCAGGCTTAACAGTGATCACAGAATAAACACATTTCTTTACATCAGTGCTATGTAAAGTACAGCAAAGGCCTGAACTGGCCAAATCTGACAACTGGTAGAAACCTTACATATATTGGTTAACCTCTGAAATGCACCAGTACTATCAATGACTTGCATGAACAAAACAAAATTCAACAAAGCATAGTGGGTTCAGATAAAGAGCTTATCTGTATACAACATCAGTACTTACAGTCTGGCTGTTACAGTGTGACTGAGAGTTACTAGAGGTATGAGACAGGTTTTTTTGGAGGAACCTCACACAGGATTATCAGAATGCCTCTGCACAGTCCGAACTTAGGCACTACTCCAGAAGCACCTAGGTCCAGAAATCCTTTCCCAATAAGAAAGATGGCATATTCTGTATATCTTGATTAAAAATTCCTAAGCAACATTCAATCAGAAGACAATGACAGCACCCTTACGATATTTTTGTGCCATGCTTCAGAAAGCATTGCCTGTAAAGGGAAGAAGCAGCCAGCTATACTTCCATGCTGATTTTCCACCCCTCCCCAAATACATGAGAGCACTGTAACAGCATACCGAAGAGTGAGTAGGCTGCTATCTTCAGGAATAACATCTGGGTCCTCTTCTTTTTCAGAAGACATTAACATATCAATGCTAGAACAATAAAAAAATAACAGATAAAATCATGGAATCATGGAACAGTTTGGGTTGGAAAGGACCTTAAAAGATCATCTAGCTCCACTCCCCCAAGAGGCATTGGCAGGGACACCTTTCAATGGACCAGGCTGCTCATGGGCACATCCAACCTGGTCTTGAACACTTTCATGGATGGAGCATCCACAAATTCTCCAGGCAACCTGTTCCAGTGCCTCACCACTCTACACAGTAAACAATTTCTTCCTGATATCTAATCTAAATCTAGAGCTATCCTCTTTGGACAAGCAGTGATTTCCCACAGTCTGTGTAGAAGTATGAGAGGCAGGAACCTCGAGGTGGTTTCCCCACCTGATCCCATTTATGAGTTCCCATTTCAGGTTATGTACTGCAGCACACCAGATACAGAGGAATTATCATATGCACATCCCTTCCTCTGCAGGCCTTCGCAGAAGCATTTTGCATTAATCCAAATAGAATTTTATCCAGCTTAAAAATAGTCTGAAGGAAAAAAATATTTAAAACACAGAATATGCTTTGAATCAGACTCAACTGCTTTTGTCTCTCCACTTTTGCGGACTATATAAAGGTAGGGCTTACTCCAGCGCCTAAGTCCACCTGCAGTTTGAATCCCACCAAACTCTTTCACAAACCCATCTCTTTATGGGACAAAACTGCCACCAGTGAAGTCCAGGAAAATCTTTCAGACTGTACCATTTATCCTCAATAACATTTATAATTTCATTATATTCTTTCTCATTATTATCTCATAATATTCCCCATGGCAACAATAACATCACTACAGTAATGAATAACGTTTTGGAGTAGAGCTGCATAGGAATACAAAAAATCGAGAAATAGAAGTCTGGAATCAACTGTTATCAGCTGACAATAAGCAAAATTCAGAGACAAAATTTTGATTGTGGACAGATGGCTTTGTTCTGATAAGCCAATAAAGTCACTCTGTATTGACAATAATACCAATATACTATTGTTTAGTTACTTACCATTAAGCAACACACTTAAGTTTTAAACTTTCTGTTTCACAGTTTTCACCTCAAACAGAAAATAATTTTTTTCAAGTTGAAAATGGGATTCTTTCAGAAACACCATTTTAAAAGGAATTTTGCAGTAATGAGCCACAACTTCCTAGAAACAGAATGAACCTTAACTTAGATTCCCACTTGAGGAAGTGGAGGCAGAGACAACCAAGTGAATCCGGTGTTAAATGTAGACTGAAACACAGCTGAGACAATTAACTAACAATTTAATTAACAGAAAGATGGAGAACAGCACTTTGGAGAACATAGTTCAACTATTAGCCTTTTAGATGGGACTGTTCTCCAGGCAGTATAGAGCTGTGTTATGAGCAGCCCACATAATTAAGTAAAGGATATTCCCCTGACAGATAAATCAAATCACAACTGACCCTTTCTGTAAAACTGACAACATAATCAAATTATTTATCCATAGTCTTCTGGCACATGGATCAATGATCCCATTCACCAAAGAGCCCAAGTCACTTGAATATGTACCATTTTGAGGAAGTTATTTTGTATTCAGTTCTTTAATATAATACTGCAGATATGATGTGCAGGATCACATAGTAAATGTCTATTACTTACCACTGTGAAGTTTCACTTGCATCAAAGGTGATAGTTTCCCATTTCCCTTCTGTGCCAGAATCCACCAACAACACGTCAGACCTTACTAAAAATATTTGAGCTTTTCTTTCTTCCTACAGCCCTAGGTGGAATCTCTGGCTGTGCTATCCACACCATGACCATTAATTGCTTGCTTCAGAGAAAAAAAGAACATCCCCAGGAAAGCTGCTAGAAGTAGACACTATGTAAAATAATTGACATTGAAACTGCTTCCTCTCTTTCCTTGTAAGGACTCAAAGCTAGCTAGTATAAAGGGATACTGACATTAAACCACTGACAAGTTTCATGGAACCTTGCAAGCAATGGTACTGCCACTTCTCACTTCCGAAAATTCAGAAACCCTCAATTTTTAAAGGAAAAGCAGAGCACTTTTTTAAGTATTAAAAATCAGTCTAATAATTACTTACATATGTCATTGTATCACATGCACTGAAGCCTTGAAAGGCTTTGCTGGGTGGCCTTACACACAGGCCATGCTGAAGCTCCCCCGTATAACTCCACTGGTACCAGTAGAAACACATATGCAATACTTGCTCCATGGTCCTCAGGAAACCAGGCTTTACAAAGGGGAAGTATACACCAATCCCTACAGAAATTAAGGCTAAAGTCAGTGTTTGACACCTAAGACACAGAAGGGCATGCAATACAGAGTTTGCACTAGGAACACCTCACTCCTGACTGCCATAAGCTTGGGATCCTACTGTGTCCCCACAGAGACTATTCTCTGCATGCATGACAAATTCACTCTGTGCACACAGTTACAATAGAGAGGTAAACACTGACCATGCTGTTTAATGGAAACCAGGGTGAAGTGTAGGACAGTAATGAGAAACAACAGCTGAAAGTGCTACTTGAAAAAAGACAAATGCAAATTGGTATATGAATTTATATCCCCTACAAAGATATTTTAAGATGATCAAAAATTAAAAGGCCGAAGCGAACTCTCTGGAAATGCAGACTTGGAAACAGACTACCAGTGAAGCCTTTAATCACTGTGATTTTACTTTTCCCAGAATATTCTAGCAGCACAATGAGTTTTCTCTTTTAGAAATTAAAAGGTATTTTAGCATTTGGCCTGATATTTTGTAATAAGCATACAGAGTGTTCATATCACTCTTTATATTGCACATATTTTAAAGGTAGTACTTTCATCACCTTTAAGACACTAATACCACAGGACGCTAAATACTAATACGTTAAGACGTTAATGCTAGCTTAATGCAGCTTTATAACACATCCCAAGAGATATTTACAACTACCCCTTCTAATAAAACTAGAAGGTGAATTAGGGCTGAAGTTGAATAAGGTACCTGCAAGCCTCACCTCTCTTGACCTACCTAAAACCCACAGTGATTTGAGGTTTAGCCTGCCCTATACATGCACGCAACAAATCACACAGAAGACAAAACAGAATAACAAAACTCATCATCTTCAACATTCAAAGACTTCAGTCACTCAAGCACCAATACCAAGGTAAACTTCTTTGCTCACAGACTCCTGAGGCATTTGAACAATACCTAGAATTTTACTCCTTTGATACCTTGGTTATTTAAGAGAATTACCGATAGAATTACTGATGGAACCTTCCAGATAAAGACACAATTTTACACCTGTTTAAGATCTGATGAAAACAAGAGCAATCTCTAAAATGATTATCAGCATACAACTTGAGCATATGCAAGGCATTCTTACTGAGTCAAATACAAGTGAGTGAAGACACAATTTTTTTCCTGCATTCTGTTTGCAGGAATGTATTACAGGAAGAAAATACAATAACATAATAATAAAACAAAACCAAACAAGTAAAACAACATCAAAAATGAACCAACAAATAAACCATAAAAACAACCAAACAAAACAAACAAAAATTAAAACAAAACAAAAGCCCTCCAAAAAAGCAACCAAAAAAACCCAATAAATCCAAAACCAGAGAAGATTGCACAGAGAAGCTGTGGATGCCCATCCCTGGAGCGTTCAAGGCCAGGCTGGATGGGCTTTGAACAATCTGCCCTAATGAAAGGTGTCCCTGTCCATGGTAGGGGGATTGGAACAAGATTCTCTTCAAAGTCCCTTCCAACCCAAGCCATTCTATGATTTTATAAGTCTTTGTTAATACAAATAGATGCTTGGCTTATCTATTCACATATGTTTCATGGTGCAACTGGGGTCTTCTAAAACCATGAAGATGCTCAGCTACCTGTAAATACTTAACCAGTACTACGTTACTAAATGTTAACCCAATTAACTTTAAGCACCAAACTGTTTGTTCAGATTCACGGATGTTACACAGTTTCTTCCACTGGAGCACTACCCCCCAGAAACTGTTTGCCTTCATGGCATATTTGGCCTACAGAGATGCTGGTGACCACCTCTTCATAAGGAACTGTGCGACAAGATAAGGAGTATTCAGTACAAATGAAAAAGGGGTAAATTTAGGTTGGGTACTAGGAAGAAGTGAGGGTGGGGAGGCACTGGAACCGGTTGTCTAGAGAAGTTGTGGATGTGGAATTCTGGCAATGTTCAAGGCCAGGCTGGATGGAGCTCTACATGCTTTCTGGTCTAGTGGAATGTGTCCCTGGACATGGCATAGGGCTATATGGCCTTAAGGTCCATTCCAACCCCCTGATGTCTATGATTCTGTATTTACTCGGGAAATAGAAACAAACGCGTGCCACAGGCCCGGAAGGGGCTGCTCTGAAGAGGTTTCGCCCGAGCACCTTCCGCCTCTCTTGAGGAGCGGCCGCGGTGTCAGGCGACAGTACCAGCCACCTCCCCCGCACCAGCGCCGAGCGAGGCCACTGCCATCTCCATCGCACCGGAGCCGTAAATCCAGGCCCGGAGACAGCCGGGCTTCCCCACCTGCAGACGGCGCGCAGCTCGGCCGCCGTGCCCAGCGCGCAGCCCAGCGCCGCCGCCACGGCCGCGTCCGCCTCCTCCGCCTCCTCCGCCGCCTCCTCCGCCTCCGCCGCCAGCGAGAGGTCGGGCGGCCCCAGCTGCTGCCGCCAGCCGAGGCCCAGGGCGCCCACGCGGAACGCGCGCGTGTACAGCTCCGCCGACTCGTAGTCGGGCGCCGCCGCCGCGTCCGCCGCCATGTCCGCGGGGCCCGTCACGGGCGGCGGGCGGGAGGCGCGGCAGCGGGGCCGGGCCGGGCCGGGCCGGGCGGGGCGGCGTGAGCGACGCCGCGTGACCCGGAAGCGACTGCGGGGCGCGACGGGGCGGTGTTTGCTAGGGGGAAAATAATTCCAGTTCCAAAAGCACACACCAACAAACAAACAAAAAACCCAACCAAAAAAAAAAAAAAACCAAAAAAAAACCAAACCAAAACGCACAACACTCCAAAAATAGTTTCTGAATTAATTAAGAAAAGCACCACATCTGTTGTTCTGGAGCAGTACAAACACTTTCACACAAAATCACATAATCTAGGTTGGACAAGACCTGTGAGATCATTGAGTCCAGCCTATGATCGAGCCTTGTCACCCAGACTGCCAAATCTAAGTGCCACATTCAGTCTTTCCTTAAAAACCTTCAGAGACAGTGACTGCACCACCTCCTTGGTCAGCCTTTCTGTGTCCTACCAAGAAAGTGTCCAATTCTTTCTAATGTCCAGCCTAGACCTCATCTGGCACAGCTTAAGACTGTCCTCTCATTCTACCACTTGTTATCGGGGGAAAAATACCAATCCCCACTGTGTTGGCTTGAAAGCAAAACCAGTGAGAGACTCCAAGTCGGTAATACAATTTAATAGGAAAAAAGAGAAAAAATAAAATACATGCAATAATACAAAAGAAAAACCACCGACAGAATCGGAATACAACCTGACACCCTGTCAGTCAGGGTGTTGGTAGCAGTCCATATGTGGCTGCAGTCCTCCTGGATGACGGATGTGGTTCAGGTGAAGCAGTGCTCCTGTAGAAGGTGCAGTTTTCCTCCGAAGATCCAGCGATGATGTGGAAATGATCCGACTTTCCTCTGGGATCCAGTGGAAAGGGCTGCTTTTGCCTCCCAAACCCAGTTTTTTATCTAGGTAGGAAAGGCTTGGCTCCTGCCCCTGGCTGGGGCATCTCCCAATGGGATGATGTAATCTTATCAGTCACACAATAGGACTTAATGGCCCATTAACGGAATATATCTTCTGGAGGAAGGATGGGTTGTGAAAAGATAAGGATGATCATCCCCCGATCTTATCAGATGGCACATCAGCAGAGGATATCTCCCACAGAGATAAGGATCACCACCCCTCCCACATTTCAACAGATGGTGATAGAATACACATTTTTGCATTGTACCCCAGGACACCCACCCAGCTACAAGCTCATTTAATATGCTTATTCTCCTCTCAAATGAAAACTTAATGCATTGGTACAATGAACATGGCTGATGAGATACATAACTTTATACTTGACTAACGCTGCTCATACTAACACTTAAAATGGTGCTAACCATCTGGGAATTTCCCCCTGAAGTAGTGTGACAAAGCTGACATGAGCACAACCTGTTAAGGAAGATGACAGAAGTAAATCTGGATTGCCCTAACCTGATATACCTGTTGTACATACCCATTGAACCACAGCCTTTGCACTTGCTTTGAGACAAAATATTAATGGAATCAGAGAATCAAAGTATAGTTTGAGTTCAAAGTGGTTTGAGTAGTAACTCGATGTTAACGACCATCTAGTCACAGCCCTCCTTGCTGTGAGCATGGATACCTTCTAGTAGAACAGGTTGCTCAAGGCCCGGTCCCACCTGGTCTTGGACAGTGCTGGGGTTGGAGCATCCACAACTTTTCTGGGCATCCTGCTCCAGTGCCTAGCCCTCACAGTAAAGAACTTCATCCTAAAATCTAATCTAAACTTGCCTTCCTTCATTTTAAAACCATTGCCTCTTGTCTGCCACTATTTGCCTTTATAAAAACTCTTTATCCTTCTCATAAGTCTCCTTGAGGTATTGGAAGGCCATAGTGAAGTCTCCCTGAAGCCTTCTTTTCTCCATAGAGAACAACTATGAACTCCTCCAGCTATCTCAGCTATTCCTCTTACTTCTCTAATTAGAAAAATAATGCTGGGATGTATTCTCTGATGGTGTTGAAGCAAGGGGTGAAGATAAGACCTGAAACAGTTCATGAAAGGAGACTGAGTTTTTGCATCCTGTATGGAATGGGCAGAATGCTGAGAGAAGGTTATGAGATTTGCCTGCTAGTTTCACAAAGCAAAGTAATATTAGGAGGATTTAAGAATGTAAGAAACCTCAGCCAGAGCATATTTTGCTTTGCTTAGCAATAACAATGTAATCTAAAGCCCTTATACTTCTCCCAGTTATATTTAGACTTGCACTGCATTTCAATGCTGAATTATTTTATTAGCTCTCATTAACCTCTGCCTCTTAACTGTAGTTATTATGCCTCATTATGAAAGTTTTGGTAGGCGTCATTTTTCCTGTAAGTATAGACAGTCTCTGTTTCCTTCCTCAGTTACACCCTCTGCTTTCTTCATCCATCACCTTTGTGCTTCTTGACACTCCTCAGCTCTGGAAGATGCTCTCGATTAAGGACTGTTGCCCTCACTTCCTGTTGTATCCTCCCTGAAACCTATGAGTTATCCCCTGAGGAATTTCATTCCAGTTTCCAAGGCCATGCCCATCTTGTTATGTGTTTGTTGTGATTGCCTATGCTCTGTTTATTTTATGAAAATACCTTTTCCCTTTGTGCACTTGCAACATTACCTGAAATTTGAAAACTCCCCATTACTTACCTGATGTAGCCACATCTAGGGTGGAAGTGACAGGCTGTACTGATCTAAGTGTTGTGTTGACATAAACAGATGGGAGGAATTTCAGCCAAGAGATGGAGGATTAAATCCTACTATTCCAGAAATAACCTTCCTTGGAAAACCAAACACTGTGGAAATCAGTGGGCAGGGGTTTCTTTTAGGTTGTTTTCTTTTGGTTTTTTTTGTTTTTTTTTTTGGTTTTTTTTTTTTTTTTTTTTTTTTTTTTTTTTTTTTTTTTTTTTTTTTTTTT